ATTTGAACAAACTTGGTAGCCCTTCATCCCAGCATGCTACAGGCCCAATATCAGTACCCTGGGCCTTTTTGTTATTGAGAAGAAGTTGTTTGAAGATTTTAACATATTTGACCCCTGTGACCTTGAAAGTGGGTCAAGGTCATTTATTTGAACAAACTTGGTAGCCCTTGATCCAAGCATGCTACTGGCCAAATATCATCTTCCTAGGTCTTTTGGTTACCGAAAAGAAGTTGTTTAAAGCAAAAAGTTGACGACGGACAGATGGACGACGGACAATGGACGGACGACGGACGCCGCACCATAACATAAGCTCACTTGCCCTTCGGGCAGGTGAGCTAAAAACTTTTCTTCTTTGACACTAGTAAAAATATCGGTGTTTTGACGTCATTCATGGGGCAAAATTTTTCTAGTGAAAAAGAAGGAAAATTTTTCGTTAGTGAGTTGATTTCCTTCATATTTGGCACACTGTTACGACAAATTAAATGCTACAAAATGACGTATAAAACATGAACATCGGTTTTTTTTTTTTTAAATTGTCAAAAATAGGGCCTACTGTTTACGAAACAAGTGGAACAGACAGTAACTTGAGTAAGATCACATTTCCAAAAAGATCTTGGAAATCATGATATTCGTTTAATGAGTTAGCCAAACAAACTGGTTGCGACTTGATTTGTTTAATTTACAACCTATAGTTTTTCTCCTAAAATGAAACATCTACATCTATGAATGCACAACAAAAGAGATCTTCAAATGTTTATTTTTATTAACATTTAACCATAAACGATTAACAATAAACAAACAGAATTAAAAACATACAATGTCACTAAAATGAACACTTTTTCATTAAATTGGCAAAACTTGTAATTAATTGAGGTGTACAGGGCATACATGCAAGAATACCATGCTTTTTAATCTTTATTTTTGTATTTACTATATAAATGTCCGCATTAGTTTTATTGTTTTGTTTTCGCTATAGTTCAAATATATATGTATATTGTTCAAAACATTTGCCAAATTTGGGCAGCAACAGGATCGATGGAAATATTCAAGTAATTTTAAAGTTTCCACTTTTGGATTAAAATTCAAGGAGCAATATATATATATATTTCAGGAGTATCACAGCAAAACTAATAAAAAAAACCACCCAAACAAACAAATAGTTGTCAAGGCTTATACAAACTGAATTAAATGTGAATGATAATGCACAAAGATTAGGACAAGGAAAATACACAAAAACAATACATATAAATTTTTGCATGAACAATGGATAAAACACAAACTGCCTATCTGGCACTTACCATAATAACACATTCTCAAAATCATAGTAAATATGGACAGAACTGCATTTTAAAAAATGACAGATTAACAAGACTATCACAAGCAATTGGTTTTATATTCCTAAATTAAAAAAATAAATGTAAAACTAAAAATACAACAAAATATATTCACCCTGGAGCCAAAAATAAACAAAAAAGTTTGTTCGATGTACATTTGTAACCTGACTGAGCCATCAAAATTGGCCTTACCCAAATGTTTTTAGTTACAGTTATGCCATGAGCAAATGTAGCACTGTTAATTAGTAAATTCAACCGGTATAACGTTGCCATGGGGGGTACATGGGCTCCTAATAAGGCAAATATGGTAATACATGTAAATTGTTCAACAAAAAATTATCACAACCGTTTCGTCTATTAAACCTATTTGGCACTTAGACCTGAACACAATTGAATTTTTAACATTTTGAAAATGTAAACAAGAGTATCAAAATCAATCAACAAGTTATTCCAGCATATAATTGATAAAGTAATATGCTCTAATTTAGGAAAGAACAAGTAGATATTCAGCGTATATATATATATTATACCTCAAAAATATTTGATTAAAGGTCATGGTCATATCATATCTATTACACTGGGTAGAACGTTGCAATATGGGGTCCGGTATGGCACAACATCCGAGAGTTCAGGTTTTTTTTTGCACTTTGAATGAATATCAATGGAGACTCGAGGCATTTTAAAGTCCAGTTCTTTGGATAATCACATCATTCATTTGATTAGAGGACTTTATGTGAACACAACTCTTTCTGTTGTGGTCAGGAAGCTTACAAATACCACATGTAATGGTTAGTTCCGGTTGTCTCTCAAATTTTTCTGTGATGACGAGACGATTCTGCTTTTCCAGAACTTGACGTAGAGCTGTCAGACCGTTATGATTAGTACCTCTGAAGTACGATTTCGTTAGGACATCATTTAATTTCTCTAAACCTTGTTGGGAGAACTTGACTATGTTTCCATTCAAATGCATCAGTTCTGTAACATGGTAACGGAGGATATGCATGTAAGGTGTCACATCTTTGGCCTGGTAAATTTTGACATATTTCGTAAACCAAGACTCAATAAGGGGCTGAATTGCCTCTGGGTTCGGACAGTCATCCTTGACAAGGGCATTTATTACCATAAACTCATCCCAGACAGTCTGGATAGCTGAAGATCGCTCCTGATCATCCAGCAGGTCAGAAACTTTACATTTTGAGAAAAATTTCAGTTTCTCAGGGCCTGTCAAATCACGGTACTCAAGCTTTTTGCTGTCTTTGTTCACATTCAAATGGAAATCCACACCACACATTAAGAGTGCCTGTTCCAGACTTGCAACATGGATGATTTTTCCTCTGTCAAGCTTTTGGAATACACTTTTTTCTGAAATGTTGTCCAACATTCTTAATTCAAAAATTAACAAGTTGAACAGCTTGTCAGTCACCCGAAGAAAAAGATGTAAATGGTCAATGATAACTCTTGATAAAGGAATGCTTGGGAAAATGGGTGGATTGGTAATTGAATAATTATTCGGTTTAGCCTTTTTTCTCCCCTTAACTGGCTTTTGCACATTCTCCTCAGAGACATGTTCTAGATAAGATACTCGTGCACCCTGGTTTTCATCAGACATGGACCACGTCTTTGTAAAATCTGATCGTTCTTTCTTACTGCACTTACAGTAAATACAGAAATATTCGGCTGAAATATGAGGTATTCCTACAGCAAGAAGTAGGAATTTATAATCTCCCCCAAGATAACATTTGACCTCCAAAGTCCTGCCTTCAATTTGTATTGTTCTTAGAGAGTCTACTTCACTACGTAGATCTCCTAAAGCCAAACATAGCTCCTTGTAACTCTCCTTTGTATTGACTATGCATAGAGGGTAGTTTCCTTCGGCAGACGCACATCTCTTTTCATTTAGTATGGTGAATGTGACATTGACAACATGCAGACGCTTGCCTATCATTGTTCCGTCAGCAGACAGCTTGATATCAACACCGCTTTCAAACATTTTGGGATTATCAGAGATCAATTTTCCCACAACATGTTTCAACCTTGTTTGCAATGACTGTTGAACTCCCAACCCATCTGGTGTGTTCATTATCGAAAAACCTGCATTTAGGTCCAAAATAAATTTTTGAACAACATGACTTTTAGGAATGGTCTTGAAAATTGAACTTAGCTCATGGTATGCTTTGTGTGAAATATTAAATTTGTCAAGAATGTAAACCAGGGTACTCAATAAGTCCTTATCCATCTCTGACAATTTTAAATCGCTGTCATCATTTAACAAATTTAAAATTTCCTGCCTCCCATTCCTTTCTATAATCACTCCAGTGACTTTACACGTTTCGTTTTCTATACAACCCAACACTGTTTTACACATTTCTTTTTCCTGTTTTCTGCGTTTGCTTTGATGACTGGCACTGCAATTTTTAAATGACTTTCTCTTTCTAGAAGGGGCTTGCTCTGTAGACAACTTGCCAAGCAAGTTTTCTTTATCTTCTAACAACTTCTCTTTTCTTTTAAGCTCTAGTTCAAAGTTCTTGTTTTCTTTACGAAGAGCTTTTTCCTCGTTATCCTTAAGCTCGGCATATTTCAAAATATTATTTTCTATTTCTTTTACATGCGATACCATTTTTTGCATCTCAACACTTTTCTCACAATAATGTCCCTGTGGTACGTCCCAACAATACTTTGATTCTGTTAGGTTTTTCTTGAACATTTTAAATTGCATACCCCCCTTAACTTTTGTTCGCAGACCTTCTCTTTTCAGGCGAAATAATGCTGCTCTGAGACTATTTAACGCCCTATCATTGCTTTCAATTTTTATTGAAATATTAAGTTTGCTTTCTAAAATTTCAACAAATTTCATAACAATTTCTTTGGTCAACTCATTATGCCAAAAATTTTCATATAAAATGTCAAAAAGGTCTATATTTTGAATAATGATCATCTTGATTTTGTTCAGAATAACACTAACAGGGTCAAGAGATCACATCAGCCTAGTGAAACTAAATGCCTACAACATATTCCCACCAATCAGTTCAGGCACAATTTCCTTATTCCCAGGACATCTAACAAAGGAAAACGTGAGAACTTTTCCTCTTGAAAGGAAATGATCCTCCGTGTGGTCTGGAAAAAGAATAAGATCGACCAAAGGACGCTTGTTCCTCACGTAGAATCGTACCGTCTCTGTTTTTACGTAGTAATTGTCGCAGTTACTATTCACCACTCTATAGTCCCAGGACTCGCCGAGAGCTGGGCACAGACTGTTTCTACTGTTTATAATATAAACAGTTCTATCCTTGTACCTCTTATAAACAGTTCCCAATGCCAGAAACCACTCAACATCCTGGATGTCCGTGTTGTTATGTATCTCTATTCTGACGGTTATGGAAGAGTCCGTTTTGTGACCTCCTGTTAATTGTTCTTTAATTTGTATTGCTAGTTGATTCAGTATACCACTACAAGGCAATGGATGGCTCACAATATCAGTTTTCCTCTTATTTTCATCGTACTTCTTGTCCCAACCTGGAAAAAAGAAAGTAGAATACAGTAAATCTTGAAAAATAAATATATTAATAGAAATTATTTAGAACAATTATAAATTTATTTATAACTTGTCTTAAAGAGATTTTAATATCTTAGTTCACATGAATTTTTGTCGGAAGCTAAACAAGGGCACCGCAAAGCGGGGCATATCCCCTCGCAATATATTCTTTGACCGTGACCTTGACCTTTGACTTTCAATAGTCGTCATCCTCGGTCCATGGTGCATGACCCTACCAAGTTTGGAGAAGATCCATTGGACAGTTCTGCTGTGTATACACCATTTTGTTACGGACACACAGACATACATTCGCGTTGCAATATCCCCACAGCAACGCTGTTGTGAGGGGATAATTAGGCCATTTAACACTGAACATATTGTAACCGATAATTACCAATATAATGAACTCTAACAGTAGAGTCGTCGGGACCCTCTTGCACCTCCACAGGATAGAGGCCTTCTTTCCATGTTTCTCGGGGCCTTGCCGTTCTTCTGGAGTATGGTAGGCGTACGGCACCAAGGTCACTGGAACAAAAACAAGAGTTTAAGGTCAATATACGCCTGTCAGTAAAATAATAAGGCAACTAAAAACCTGCAATAGTATTATACATATAGTGCGGGTCTATCCAATTTTCAGAAAGACGATACACGGAATCGTCCACTATAAAATAATAGGGAACAAAGATATTAAAATATGCACCTATAATTTAATTTGAGATTTTATAGTTGATATTTGTGAAGGAGTATAATTGATCATATGATACATGACCAACACTCACAGCCCCCCCCCACGAGTCAGTAACTGACGTATCAAGAGTGAAGCCACCTGCAAAGTTTATCTCTATACTTACCCATGTCTAGAAAATAGGTTTAGAATATTTTAGTTTATCTTTTCCATGGTGTAGAAAATGTAGCGGAACTGTATGCATATGCGGACCAAATCGAACGGGGATGCAATTTGAATGTACACCGCTAAAAAAACACGCTTCACAAAACAAACTACAATTTCAACGTTTGAGACGGGCCAACATGATGCATATAGACTTAATATATAACTTACAACACCTACATTTCACTTACGCATATGATTCCGCACTTTGGTCATTGTGGACAATTCTTCTTTGCCTTTTTTCCTTTGAAGAGACACGCGCCGCCATATTTCCCATATCAGCCTCTGTCCTTGATCACGTGGTACGCCAGGAACGATAACTCCGTCATATACTTTGGGGGAAACCACAAAAACTTTGTGATATGCATATGTTGGAGATAATACAAAAATTATGTTAATATCATGCAGTATAAGCGGTTTAACAGCACACACTTACAAGCTAAGACCGGTGACAGGTAACGTTCATCATCGACGTGGCAACATGATAAAGCCCTTAAACAAACTAATACTTACAAATCCAGAAGGACGGGTAATATAAAACAAACACACTCACACGCGCTTCTCTTTTATTTATCATGGAGACAATTTCAACAGCAACGTAATCATTCAAATACAACTTGGTTATTTTGTTTCATACATGATTTTACTGTAAGTAATTGGTGTAATGTTTAGCATGGTTGCTGTCTAAGCAGGCGGTATGGCTTCACCCCCTGGTCACCGCTTACTTATTTTTGATCGTTTGAGAGAGTTTATACTTTGGATATCCTAAAGATGTGGTACACTTAATTCACCTTTTTTCTATTTATCTACCATGAAGCCGTCTCGGTTGTGACTTGTGTTAACACCACAGCTAAAGGTATGTGACGATTGGATTTTCTCAACGTTGAAGACGGAGTTCATATCAGGGGATGTAAAACTGTTAGCCTGTCAGCAACTTTCATTTGACAACATTATCTAAATCTAAATTTTACCGATATATTGACTGTTGTACATGATACTCGACGTTATAATTAAATAGCCTGATAAATCCAACGTTAGGTGAACTTAACAAGTCTGATAAATCCAATATAAGGTGAACATACTAGTCTGATAAATCCCATATTAGGTGTAATTAATTAGTCTGATAATCCCATATAAGGTGTAATTAATAAGTCTGATAATCCCATATAAGGTGTAATTAATAAGTCTGATTATCCCATATTAGGTGTGATTAATTAGTCTAATACATTCCATATTAGGCGAAAAGAGTTTCCGACCGATACACTGTAACAGCACTGCTGTCCGTTACCGTCCAGATATATGTAGATAAATGACAGGGGTGACAGGTCATATCCCGCGGGAATTTCACCAGTCTGTACAAGTCTGATTTACAGTGTAGTTTTGTCGAAAATATGGCGTCGGTGGTGTAACGGTCAGCATGGTTGCCTTCCAAGCAGTCGATCCGGGTTCAACTCCCGGCCGACGCACGTCTTTTTCAGTTAAATATGATTGATAAAATTATTTTAAAGATAAGAACCACTAGAAAAAATAATCACTTTTCGTTTGCTTAACAGTTAACAAGTTCAATGACACTGTCTATTATGTTTACCAGATGCGTCACCATAATATTTATTTGATAGATATTTATTAGATATTGATGGATATCCTTGCAGATAAATAAGGAACACACCATGGTGGTTTGGAATGAATTTTCCAAATTGCAATGTTAAATTGTTGTCGATCCTACAGTGTCACTGTTAAAGAATAAATACAACAGAAAACACAATCCTACTGGAAACAGGAACTGTACTTGCCTTTGTACTGAGGGTGGACTGTGCAAGATGAGAAGGCGTTGCATGTTCACAAGTTCTTGCTGTCACTTGATGATGTAGAACAAATCCACTTGTCCTCCCTGTCACGTGACAATGCAGAACATATCAATTTGTCCTTGCTGACCAGGTAGAACAAATCCACATGTGTTGCTGTCTCGCGTAGAACAAATTCACTTGTCCTCGCTGTCTCGCGATGATGTAGAAATTTCCACTTTTCCTCGCTGTCACGTGACAATGCAGAACATACCCATTTGTCCTCGCTGTCACGTAACAACGTAGAACAAATTCACTCGTCCTCGTTGTCGATCTAGAATATTTTCGCCGTTTAGAAAGAAGTAAATGTGACAAAGAAAATAAATCAGTTAAATAAACGTGTCATAATATATTATATGGCTCATGTTATTGTATTGTAATGCTGATTTACCGCTTCCTGAATCGGGGTCCGGTCCTCTGATTTGATATTAGACACGTAAGCACGTTATCCGGAGTTTTACCGCCATTAAAAGGTTGCACTGAAAACTTTGACGATCTTTGTGTTTTTATTGAAGAACACAGCCAGCCATCCGGCACAACAAGTGGTGTCAGAAGTGGGATATTGCTTATACGACCTGCAGGGAGTCCAAAACCCGTTTCTATTTGTGTAATGTATTGCAATTCATACCTCAAAGTGGACAGGAGTCTGCCACAGGTAATCGCGCTGCATTGATTGTTTGTGGGTTGTTACTCGTCATTTAAATGATTATTTTGTAATTTGATTACTATAACTCATTTATTATTCTCAAAAAGTAAGAGCACAATAATTAATTTACTCGGTTTGGGTAATTTACTGTTTTGTTTGCCTGTATTTAGCCTATGTTTCTGTACTTTCGTTTTACATGTATTTTCGTATTGGTGTTCACTGCGAACACTCGAATTGTTTCGAAACGAATCGTTCACTTCGAACGGTCAAAAATTATCTTTCAGAGGTCGGAGAAGGATCTCGTAGACTACCTTAAATTACACAACGTGACAATACCCCCTCACGAGGCAGATTTGACCCCCCTGCTAGTATCCGACAGCAAAGGAAAGCGCCTTGCAGTGGTACACAGGGGCAGTAATCCAAAACTTCCTATCCAGTTCTCATGTAAAGGTGGTGCAAACTCATCAACCCTAGTATCCCTACTAAAAGAACAAATTACCATCCTCAAGCAGAAATTTGGTAAACCTGTTTATGTTTATTTCTGGGCTGGTACATGCGACATAACCTCAAAGCAAGGCGGTTATATAAACATTTCTGGTACCTGTGTTAACACTGTACACAAAATTATCAACTGTTACAAAAGAGCGAGGAACTACAGAATAAAACAGGGGTGCAAAATTCAATTTATTGTAGTACTTATTTATTCGGTTAGCCATTACAATGATAGCCAAGGTCACCATAATCCGAGCAAGTTTCTAGAAACAGATGCTGAAGTTGCCAGCCAGGTACACTTCTTGAACTCTCAAATTGAACTTCTCAACACTTAAATTCAATGCTGATCGTCGTGATTGTCGCAAAAAGGGAAAAGAGCGATATTTTATAGAATTATTGGAGGACGGTCTCCAACCCGGAGAACTCCTGGCGAGGAAGTGGTTTAGGCGACTTGAATTAAATATTGTGAAAACTTGTTTTGTGGACCAGGACATTTTGGAAGTCCACGTTAACCAACAGGAACTTTTACAGTTAGCATTTGAACAAAATGAGTGATAAAGAACAAGAACTCACACCAGGGGAAGGAGAGTCTTCAGTTGACACTGCGTCAGCTGCGGCATACGAAATGCTTCAATTCGTAATGAAAGGTTTTGATGAGCAGCGTGATACACAAATGAAGATGTTTCGGCAAACTATGGGGGAGTTTAAAGACGAAAAGAAAAGAAGCTTTGAGGCACAAAGTGAAATGATGAAGTCCTTCATGCAAGAGACACGTCTTGATATTCAAAAAACCATAGGACATCAAGCACCGCTTGCACAGAGTACATTTTCATCTATGGGTCCACAACAGGTGTTTGTAAGGTCTGCAGACAGAGGATCATTTGGTGGTTTTGACGAAGAACTCCGGGTGATCCAGGATAGAGAACGCTCATATTCAAGCCCAAATTTAAATGGACAGAACTCTGCACTATCCAGTACCATCTCATTGGAAAGGCAGGATATGGGACGTATGCTAAACAGACATCAAGGAAATTAAAGGGTCCTCAAACAAAACTTCCAGTGTTTGAGGGAAAGGAGGATATAGAGGTTTTTATCGTTCCCTTTGAACGGTTAGCAGAGCGTTATAACTGGACAGACAATGAGAAAGTGGACAGCCTCTACGAATGTCTAAAAGGAAGGGCCATGTGGTACATCTGCTCCTTACTAAGGGAAAAGAGAAGAGATTACAGGAATCAGAAGGATAGTCTTATCAAGCGGTTCGGACGAAGAGACACAACAGCGCGATCAAAATTACATGAAGTAAGGCAACGCAGCCTAAGTAATGACGAATTTGGGGAAGAGGTTTGGCGCCTAGTTACCCTTGCTTATCCTAATGGAGATCTCGACTTGCAGGATCAATTGGCTGCAGAGGCATTCCTCAAGGGGTACAAGAACCCCAAGGTATCTTATATGATGTGTTGAACAAGAAACCAAAAACTATCAATGAGGCTATTGAAATGGTTACTTCACAAGAACATAACTTCAAAGCCACCATCGGTAGGGAGAAAGAGATACGAGACAAGGCTCGACGCGTTTCATGGGCTGATGGGGCTGGTGTAAAAAATGTCTCCGATGACGAAGAAGTGTTGAATACACAGCGTGTTCAACTGCCAAACACTACCTTATAGTCGGACAGCCTCAGTAAATTAGATGTTAGGATGAAACAGCTTGAGGATCTTGTTCGAAATAGCTCGCTAGAGTGTCGCGCAAGGTTCGACCAGTTAGGGAAGGAACGCCAAAGTGGGTTTAGCAAGGAAGGAAAGGAATGTTACAGATGTGGTGGTAAGGGACACTTCCAAAGAGATTGCAGCTCTAGGAGATCAAGATCGCCCACACCACCCAAAAATCCCCGTTCTCGCTCAACACAGCATGATGTTAAGATCACCCGGACCAATAGGACAGAGAAAAGCATTATCGTCCCAGTAACGGTAAATGGAACAACAACTGATGCGGTTATTGATACTGGGGCCGACGCCACAGTCATCTCTGAGAAATGGGCAAACGAAATAAATTTGCTGTATGCTAAGCCAACCTGAAGGATAGCGAGATTAGACTCACAAATGGCACATTTATAGGAACAGTTGAGGAAGCTGACCTAGCTTTGGACCCAAACATGAGCAGGGAGCCTTTCGTAAACATCAGTGTCGAGCCAGAACATTTACACGAGGCCCCTGGGACAAACAGAGAGGTTCCGTTGCATGTACATGATATTTTTGAAGAGTCCTCAAAAGGACTGTCATCAAATCA